ATAATAATAATAATAATAATATCTTCGACTGTTCTTTAAAATTAAAGCGTAATCACCTGTGGTCAAATTGATTTTGAATTTTTTTTTAACTGGATTATTCAGAATCCAAATTTAAGTGAGTCGATTTATAGATTTTTTTCTGAAAGATTTGAATATTTCTTTTGGAAATATTACACAGTTTCCTAAGAGTTTTTAATGGTATCTCGAATGCCTCTTAGAGGTATGTTTTATAACCCATGCTGGCTCCTCTTATCACTCTGCCCCGTAATCAACAACTTGAATGTAGTGTTGAATTTACCTCAGTGAATTTAGGTATTTTATCATGCTTTAATTTTACTGCGGGTTGACAAAAATTACAAGAAATCCGTTATGAAAAAAAGATCACACAGCATTCGAATGGCTCTTTCACGCTTCGAATAACTGTTAATAGCACATATATCATGAAAGTCGAATAGTGAAATTATTTTTAAAAAGTGAAAATATACTAAAAATCGTGTAAAGCGCATAGAGCTTGCTTTCGAGTGGGGACATATGCTATACAAATACTATTTATTATTATTATTGTTTAAATATTTCCCTCAAATGGACACTGTACTACTTACTGGCGATGCAGGTGAAACCGTCAGATGACAGTTGATAGCCCATGCCACACAGACACTTGGACGAGTTGTTTTCCGTCAAGAGACAGAGGTGGGAGCAGATGTTCTCTGTCTCACTGCACGAGTCTGGAAACACACAGAACATAGTGATCGGCTCATTCACAAGCTCTAGTTGCGAATCACTGCTTATGATTGCTGAACTAATAAACCTACTGTTTATAACTGCTAAATTATTGAACTGACTATTCATAACGACTAAACTATTGAACTTCAAATTATTGAACTGACTATTCATAACGACTAAACTATTGAACTTCAAAATGAACTCATTATTTATAACAACTAAACTATTGAACTTCAAATTAATAAACTCACTATTTATAACGACTAAACTATTGAACTTCAAATTAATGAACTCACTATTTATAACGACTAAACTATTGAACTTCAAATTAATGAACTCACTATTTATAACAACTAAACTATTGAACTTCAAATTATTGAACTGACTTTTTATAACAGGAAAACTATTGAGCTTATCATCTATATTTTTATA